ATTTTCCCCCGGGGGGGGGCCACCGGGTTTTGTTCCCGGCGAATCCCCCCCCTTTGCCCTTTTCCCAGCCCCCCCCCCCCCCCCCCCCCCCCCTTCCCGCTTGGTACCTCTCGGCTTTAACAGTATCCGCTTCGCTTCGTCATACGCATGTCCACCTCGCCACCTGGCAACTGCATCCTTTCGTAACACCCTCTAGTATCACAAGAAGTGGTCAAAGCACGGCAAGGCAACTTAAAGCACAAGGGCGCTTATTTCAATGGCTCTAACTCCAGCTAGTGCCGTACGCGACCCCCGACTCCGGGGTACTTTGACGCTAGGTATTATACCGAGTGTGTCACTGAATGCTTACGCAGGTGAAACAAGTCAGAGCACTGCGGTCAGGCAACTCGCTGCTATCGCGCGTCGGGGAAGACAGAAACCTGCCAAGGAACTGTCAGAGTTGAAGGAAACCATTGATGGCATCTCGTGGGAGCGGTGGGATTGCATGGACGCCGATGGGTCCAACTACTTCTCGAACAATAACATGCAGGAATTAACCGGCGAGGAGCTAGCTGAAATTATCGTCAAAGCGGTTACCGCTGAGCAGCACACCGAGTACGAGCCAGGAGTGGCGGAAGCTTTCCTCAAGCTAATCGTGTATGCGCACAGTTTGTCGGAGGAAGAGCTAGATGCATCCCTTCAGCGAGCAGTATCCGGGCTAACAGCGTTGTTTGAGGGAACATCTGATCCAGCAGAGGTCAGTCGGAGGACATCGAACTGGGTGGTAGACAGTAAAGATGGGCGGATCCAGAGCAAGGAGTTCATGTCTGAAGTTAAACAGTTCTGCACAAGCATTGAACCGCGCCTCAACTGGGATGAGTCTCCTGTTCAACGCTATAACAGCGAACTTGTCAGACGCCAGCTCCAAGTCGTCGAGTCTATTGCCTTGCTCAAGATCATAAAACAGGACGCGGACCATGAGGCCGTGGGTAAGATCGTGCATAGGATTAGAGGCTGGGCGGACTTGCTTTCCGAAATCGTTACATCCTTTGTACCGGTCATGCTAGAAAGGCCGTCTTCGCAGACGGTTCTTGACGCAGAAAAGCACGAGCGTTTGCTCAGTGGTATTAGGCACCAACTCAACGGCTGTCCCAACCAAGCCCCTCGAAACAACCAGGTGCGTACAGAAATACTCGGCGAAGTGACGCCACGCCCATCCTCGCTGCAAACGCTACTGGCGGTCAATCTAGCTGTAGCAGCTAAGTGTCACGGGCTAGCAGTTCGTGGCGCTGCTCAGAGCAGCTTCGAGGGCCTCCCGTTACGAATGGGAGAGCCCGAGACGATAAGCGGTGGCTCAAGTACGAACTCCCTAGTTGCTCGGCTAGGTCACCTTTGCCAGGCCTTAATTGAACGGGGCTCTTACGACTTCGGGACTCTAATGGGGAGGCAGGAGGCGATGCTAGAGGCTAGCAAAGCCATAGAGAAGCGGATTAAGGTGATGCCCAGGCGGTATGTGTCAGAATTCTCAGACGACAATCACGACTGGGTGTCGAGCGTATCGGAATTGGTGCTCGGGCCGGCGACGGAAGGAAATGAAGTTAAGTTTTGTGATACGTTGCTGGATGCTACTGATGCAGAGGTTGCCTTGGGCTTGGCGCGCTACATCCGAGCAGGGCGGCGGTTTGCACTTAACAAAGGCGCGTTTCGAGTAGAGTGGACCGGGCAAGCTGGCATGATCGTGTTTTATGACCGGTCTAAGAATCGGTATAGGGCAGTCGCGTCCTCGCTCTCCCGGGTGCATGCAGCATTAGTGCGAGAAACTGCAAGCTTCGTAAACAGCAGGGCGCTGCCTGTTGATTACATACTGTTTCGTGAACTCTACCTCACCGCTATCGCCGGTGAGTCTATTGCAGTATCGACACTCCGGAAAGCATTCGACTTCAAGGAGATCCCGAGGACCATGGGTAAAGTGGAGAAAGACGATGCACTCAAGGCGCAACTCATCACTGAAATAGTTATCTTGCAGGCAATGACAAGAGGGCCTGGTATGTGCGTCGGCACTAACTGCTTCCTCGAGCAATCTCTGGATCGGACAAGCGACGACAGAGGTCATTGTTGTGTGAGGATGCAAACGTCGAGATCACGGGGCATTCTAACGTTAGATTCTCCCCTGCCGGTCTCGTGCTGGGAAGATTCGGACCGCCCCGGAGAGTTGGCTGCATGGAGTTGTAACAAGAAGATCTTTATCGAAGGTAGTGGCCAGCGGACGACTATAGCTAACCCGGTGCACGCTGTTAGGTGGACCAAGCTTGCCAGGCCGGATATTGCAGATGCGGCGCAGAAGTTGATGGAAGTGGGTGGAAAATGAGCCGAAATAGGCTTGAGCCAACGTGCTCGTCGAAAACAAGTCGGGGCACGGACGGGCAGTGAAAAGTCGATTCTCTTAGAGAACCCAAAAGACGCGCAATAAGTATGTGTCGCGAGATGCTTCGACTTAAGAATGGCCGATTAGCTGTCTCAGTTCGACTGGGGCTGCAGTTCAGCAAAGGTGGTCTGATTGCCTCTCTAGCGGTTCCAGAGAGGTGTTCCCGAAGTGAGGTTGGGTTTTTTTATGGAAGGTTGTCGCTTGCAATAGGGTGTTTGTATAGAAGGTTGTCGCTTGCAATACCGTAGGTCGCTTGTAAAGTAGTGTACGGTGGTTTCGGTAAACACGTCGAAGGTTTGTGTACGAAGTGGGTCTGGGTCTACAAAGCAAGCGGTGCGGTAAGAGAGTGAGTCGACATGACGCTCCGTAAACGCCGTGGCACCATCGCACGCGTGGCGCACATCGATAGCACACCAACCACAGTGGCGCAATTTGATTGAGTCGCCCTTTGATAGCATCTATCTACATCCAGTACCTACATCCAGTACGTACATGCCCCAATCTCCCGCCCGTACTGCCATTTCCCGTGCGCGGGCAAACGCGACAAGCTGCCCGCGGCACGGGAAGCGCAACAAGCGCAACAAGGCTGCCCGCGGCCGCTAATCTAAGCCCCCCACCCCGGCTCCCCCCGCCTCAGCTACAGCTTGTCAAAGAAGCCCGCCGCTTGCTCGGCTACGCCGCTGCCGGAGAGCTTGCTCTTGATCTTCTCCCTCCACCCGGGGCCGTCGGAGCTGGATGACGAACCCGGCAGCGGCGGAGCCGGGCCGGGGTAGCCGCCGCCCTTGGTGTCTGCTGCGTGTTCGTTATTTGCCCCACTTTTTGTTTTC